ATGTAGCTGCTTTAGCAGGTACATGGAAGTTTATTAATACAGCTGGCGGTAACATGAAAGGTTGTAAGCAGTTGACAAGAACCTACGAAATAAAATGAATTCATGCAATTCTGCTAGAATCTTTGTTCTTGCTCTTTTCAAAATGATAAAGGGAACTATGTATATGAAATTTATAAAGATTGTTTTTATTCTATTATTTGATGTAATGTTTTAATGTGTAAATGAATTGTATTTGTGAAATTAGAACATACATTGTAGTAAATTCTTTAAAATATTCCACAGTTGAGTAAATTGCTTCTAATCAATTATCATCTTTATTCACATTATTTTCGGATTAAAAAAACAAAGATGAATTTGTTATGTGAAAATCCCTATTGATTTATGAACTAGTGATTGTTTTTTTATTGTTTTCCTGACGACATTTAAGATTATCACAAGGTAATATCTCATCAGTTTAAAAAGAGAAACATAAAGACTAGAACACTTAAATGATCAGTTAAAAATAAAATCAGTTAATGGTATAGTTACAATTAATCATTACGAAAGAAACGATAGAAAGCAAAATTAGAAAGTAGGCAAATAATATATTTAAAAAAGGGAAGTATACATCAAGGTAAACTGATTATTCTATAGTCATTAAGTTCCGTAGTTACGAAACATGATATCATATAGTGAAGAAAAATAACTGGATAGTAGTATGTACTAAGCAATAAATCATTCCACTTTTTTTCACATCTTGATTGTGCATTTTTTGACGGTATTAAATTTTTGGACATTTCTGGACTAGTATGTAACTCTATCGTAATCATAATAAAAGGGTAACAGTAATAGTAGTTATATAACTGTGAAGGGTTTATAACAGATCTTTGTGAAAGTTGATCACTCACTAATGGTTATAATTAAGGAAATGGAATGAATAAAACGATTTAATTACTATTAAATTTATTGTGTACAATACTTCTCAATATGATTTTAAATTCATTCATAACCGTTTACATTTAAATGGATGTTAGAAGAGAATTTGTGAAGTCTTTATAGATTTTCCTTGCTTGACATGAGCAAGCATTATGTTCTCTGTAATTGTTTGTTCGCATTAATATTTAACAGATTACCATTACCAATTACATCTCCAAAATTACATCACAGAACTTAAAACTAAGGGCACAATTTGTTTTGAGTAGTGAAATTCCACTTTATTTTTCTGCACCGAATGAATCACTGAAATCTCGAAATATTTCAAATAATCAATAAATAAATGAGTTCCACTGTACTAAACTTCACTGAAAACTTCATTATCCAAATTTTCAAACCAATTTATTCAAAATGTCTTGATTTTCACTGTGGTATAAAATATGTACGTTTGTTTATATTAAAAATTTGTAAATATTATTTCATGAACAGTTTTAGGCGTTATAGTGAGAATTCGTGACTAGTGTAGTTAATCCATGTCAGTTAGAGACATGCGTCTATATCAGTACAATAGAAGATATTCGTGCGATTTCGTGGACTGATTGAGGTTGGATATTAACACCGTTGGATGCCGATTCAGTGATCTAGGGGTTAAGCGTTCCCGCATTAGTCCAAAGGTCCTGGGTTCGAATCCTGCATGCTCAGTTGTGGACGTGCACTGCTGAGGAGTCCCATAATAGAACGAAACAGCCTTCCGTTGTTTCTAGGTTTTCAATAGTGGTGTAACATCAATCGATTTATAATCTCAATCAAAAATTTTACTTCCGTTGTTTTCTTGTGAATATGAACAAATGAGTGAACATCAAACAAAAATAAAGATAAAACGTTTTACCTTGTAAAAACAAATTTTGACGGATGTTTATAAGAATGTATAATTTGTTGTTTTTTACAGATAATCAAGTGAAATATTTGGGCTAATATCAATTCGTGATAGGAATTACATTGATAAAGTTTTCTTTTCAAGTGACAGTAAATAAATAAGTGGTGAGTAAAACACAAATTATAAAGTATATTTTATATTTATATTATTACTAATGGCTTTATTCAGTACTATATTTTGGTATAATATAGAATCCTCAGCACGAGGTATTTCAACAAGTTTTGTTACAAAAGGAAACAAAACAACAAAAACAAAAAAAAATGAAAACGACGAAAAAAGATCTGAATCTGTACAACTTTTAGTTAGAAACGTGTTTAAGAATACAGGTTATTGACTAGATCACCTCTAACAACATGCTCGTCACAGAGTATATTTGCTAAGTAAGGTATTATAGAAATTTTAGACCTTTGCATGTGTGCATGGACTTTAATGTATTGACGTCTCGTTCTATCAGAAGATATACAGGGAGAAAGATATGGATGAAGTGGATGGTTAGTATCTGATAAGATAACACCTTCCAGGAGTTTGCAAGACTTTAGTCGTCTATCCACAACCATATTAATGATGACCTCAAAAGATTCACCGCACACCATGCTAAATGTATTCAGCACTCTCTGCAATACAGCAAAGTCTTTCCTCAAAAGTAAGTGGAGGAATAATGGATAATATCAAACAATAACAGGTAATATGCAGGAATAGACAAATTGTAAGAGTAGATGTCAAGTAATCCCAAAAGCACACAGCCTCTTTATGTTGTAAGTCAGACGGAAACCTTTCTTTGATAACAGTAAAAATTGACACCTTTTCGTGATAACCATGAGAAAAGATGGATCAAGTTCTAATGAATAGCAGCACATTATAAGGTGGGGAATGTTTTTTACGTAATATGTATTCTTCTAGTATCTCTGAGCTACTATTTTATTTTTTTAATTAATTGTATTAACAAGAGAAATAAAAAATAAAGAAACAGTCGAATTGGACACGATTATCCTTAACGATTTCAACGTTTTGTTCATTATCATCATAAGTATACTATTGTAAACCGAGTGTATTCGGTACTTGTGGTTTTTTGGAATACCTAAATTGTCAAGTTGACAGCTGATAGTATTTTTAGGCATATGGAACCTTAACTTCTATGTCAGCTAAAAATCTAATTCCTCGTTAAAACTAAATGAAATGTTTGCTTTGACCTAGTATCATTTTTTTTAAATACGATCTTAACCTTTAATTAACATCTAGAACAAATTCAGAAGGCATTTCATCGATACCATGTTCTCGTGCCATTAGTTACTTCATTATCTTGAAAATCATAAACACTGAGTATTTGGAAATGTACTTAAGCTTTTCTTATAGATGGATTAGTTTTATCCATTTATATTTTCGTTCGTGCCTTAATTTTGTTAGCTACGCTACAACAACATGAAATGTCATGAATTTATGCTTAGTGCTTACTTAAAACAGGTTAGTTAAAGAAGATATTAGATACTACTTATATATGGTGACTAATGTCATGACTGAAGAACTTCTCTTCTAATCACTTTTTCTATTTGAACTTTTGAAGTACACATCAAAATCAGTCATTATTAAGTTCAATATTATGATAAAACATTCGACCACTGATTTATATTGCCCATAACAACATTCAGACAACATTAAAATCCTAATTGTAAAACTAAACTAAATTAAAAATCTCAAGTAAATATTATTGTTTATTTGATTGTAAAATGAATAAAACAAGGATAGTTGTATCCTGAAGTAAGAAGATAATTATGTTAGAGTAGATACCATAGATCCTTTTTTTTCTTAAAAGTTGAAATAAATTAATATCTGCAAAAGTTTATCTACATGAAAGTTACATTTATTAAACTGGTTCTTCAGAATTCTCTCTCTCTCTCTCTCTCTCTATATATATATTATATATATATATTATATAGAACGTGAAATATCCTTTCCTGTTTCATTAATTGAGTTTCTTTTTTTTTCTCTTTTCTCTTTTTGATTTTCTACATTGCGTGTGTTCATTCAAAAGTCTGTACATAAAGTAGTTCTATATTATATAACATTTGTTCCACTTAATTTCCTGATTAATTCACTTTTTTTTGGAAAGAAATTTCGATAAAACATATTGAATCAAAGTAATTTTAATTTGAGAATTGATTTTCAGTCATTTCAAATTGTACTCTGCATTAAATCATGCATAACGTTTTTTTCTTCTTCTTTGATTGTGAAATGAACATTAGGTCTCTTGGAATCTAAGTAAACAACTTTTCGTGGTTGTTGTTGTTAGGATAGGTGACTCATAGAGATAGTTGAGTTTCAAAATTGTTTACATAACTGATTAACCTTAGTTAAGCAATCATCAGAATTCATGGAACACTGAGCATCACCATTGGTGGTGATTGTTTTATTGTAGGACAACATTTCAAACGAACCGAATCTGATTGTGTGAAGATTTTAATATGTGACTGAGTTGTCTAAGTAGAATGGACGCTATTTGAGGTCTTAAAGTTCTAGGTTTAATTTCTAGTAGGATTTAAGTGTCTACAACTAAGGTGTCACTGTCCGTTGCTGTCTGGTTCTTATTGGTTGTCTATCTGTAATCAACTGGTGATCTGAACTACCTAGTAAGAGTTGTGTTATTTTCTCTGAAGCTAACTTGTACAAAGGCTAGTGTTATTTCATTCTTGGTAATGATTACAATTAATACAGAGAGAATTGAAAATTAGCTATTTACTTGTCATCCTAATAAGTTGAAAAGCTTTCCGAAACTTTGTAATTTAACTACAAAACAGGTCTAGCTTTGTCATGAACACATGCCTATCTGGTAAAATATCGGAATATAGACCACTATAATAGTTTAAAGTAATTTTCTTTTGAATAATATATTCTTGTACAAAATGTTTTATTAAATTTACTCGTTTTATACAAACTCTAGTTTACGCTATAAAGGATTCACATGAATCAAACGTGAAATATAGTTTCAATACAATTCAAACGTCTTCGTAGACCATTTTTGGCTGAGTGATTTGCAGTAACTAAATTTAGATCTCATGTTAGTTAACATTTATTACCGTGACTCAGCCTCAGTCTTAAGAAATGTCAGTATACCTGCATGAGTTGGAACCTAGTCGACACTCAAATCGCCCTGGCTATGACGGTGCGTGAAATATTTGAAAACTTATTGACTTCGGAAAAATCCGGTCAAACAACAAATTGTAATATTCCAAGTAACAAATTCTCGGTTGATTTGTATATTCTAGAATTTTAAAACATTTACTTTGATCAATACTAATCAAGCGGAATGTCATTATGATTTAAGTAGATCTCTTAAAGATTTGATTAGAAAATTAAACATTATTAAATGGAATCTAAGTGTTCATATGTTATGTAAACATTCAAAATATATCCATGTTTGAAACATAAATGCTACATATCTATTAACAATAATGTACATTATTATATAAACTTAAGTAGGAATAATCTAGCTGTGCAGTTCACAGTGATCAAACAAATTCCCAAAACAACATTAATTATAGGCAATTCATAAATCAATATGAAAGAGATGTCGTAGAATAAATAAAAAAATATTCTTTGCTTTATCACGTCAATACTGGAAGTGATATATTTTTAGGTTTTTGGTGGCTCTAAGTCAAAGGAAGCCGTTACCAATGGAGTTCAACCAGATCTCTTGTGAGATATCAGCTCACTGAAGACAATGGTGTACGGTGGCGCAACTTCGTGGATTGGTTGAAGTTAGACATTAACACCGTTGGATGCCGGCTCAGTGGTCTAGTGAATAAATTAATATTTAAAACAACTTGTGTGTTCACTTGAACTATTTTTAGTGTCAGAGGTAATGTGAAAGCCGATTCCTTCTTTCATACTGTAGTTTTTATTTATTTATTTTTAAGGAACATCATAATAGGGACTAAACAATTGATCGGTTGTTCACACTGTATGTTCGAATGTCAATCTTTATGCTTCTGGTCATAATGTTGTACAACTGGTGCTTGAAATTTTTTTACTAAACAAAAATTTACATTATAAGCAAAGATGGATAGTGGCTAGCAGTGGAATCCAGGACGCGCGTTTCGTCCTGTTTGGGACTCGTCAGCTGGATGTACCTGCATCTGAGTTGATGTTCACTCTGGGACTCGAACTCAGTACCGTTCGCTTCAAACGCCATCGCGTTATCCACTTAGCTACTGAGTCCTGATAGTCACTTGCTTGTGCAATGGGTTGAAGTTGAATTCACTTGATATTGTTTTACTTGAATCTTCCCATTGATGTTTTTGGACTGAAATTGATCAGTCTCTTATTGGCAATATCGAGGCATACGCACAGTATGCACATATGCCAATAAGAGACTGATCAATTTCAGTCCAAAAACATCAATCGGAAGATTCAAGTAAAATAATATCAAGTGAATTCAAAAATTTGCATTGTTGAACAAAACTGTTATTATCACTAATACTTAATTAGGGGTTTTACAAATTTTTCATATCTTTTATTTATTTTATTTCACTTCGTACATATAACACTTATTCATACACTTTTGATTACGTAATCTTGGTGATCCTTATTTTAAAATCCATTTTCCAACCTTTGACATAGTTCCCAGATTAAAAAATCGATCCATAGTTTGATGAATTTTTCTATTTTCGTCACGAGTATTACATGTATCAACTTACATTGGTTTTAATCTTTCACTGATAATATTCAATAATGAAGAATGTTTAAGTAAACAATTGTTTTCCATAAATTTATCATCATGCTTTTCAGTTATAGGTTCATAATTTTGATATTTTACAAAAGAAAATAAGGTATGTGTTAATGAATTTGACGATGTTATATGTTGAAAATGGTGAACGTTTGCATCTATTATGACGTATATACATAACAATTGCGTCATTTGTAAAACACATAACCCTCGACTATATGACCTACCTAAGATTTCTAAACCTGAGATTTCCTTAAGATACAACTTCTTTGTTCAGTAACATCCCACTGACTGAAACTATAGATTACATATGTAAGATGGTCATCACGAAAACACTCTATCTAAACTGGATATTTAAGGGGACATAGCAGGTGACAATTTTTACTCGTTAACTGAAAAGACATGTTTAAAGGACATTTCACACGTTACGTTACATGTAGTCTCAACTAGGATATGTTACCGACGATGGGCTCCTCCATGTGTGTATACCAATTCAAATGCTCCTATGGAGCTAGTTACATAGGCCGTATTCAGAGGGATATATCCTTAAGTGCTAGTGAACATGTGTTAGCATGTTTGAGAAAAAGAGTTACTAAATCGATTAACAGTACCATTCTTTCTTACTTGGTAGATATGAAAATCATATCAAAATACAATAAACTTTCTGTTTTATATCAAGTTCTAAACAACCTATGTAAGAGAGCCAGATTACGACTACTCTACATAGACGAAGCCAACTGGATTATCTCCAGAAAACCAAACTTCTGTATCCAGAGTAGTTAGATCCAACCCCGGTATATACCTTTGCCTACGACTGTATTACAGGATATCTGATCTAGATATTATAAACCTGTTACTCCCCTACCACGTTTTGATTACATTTTTTAATCTTCATATCCATCTTTCCGAATTCACATGAATACTTTTTTAGTGTAATTACCCTCACAATCCCCCTTTTATTACATATCATATTCACACAACGTTATTATTATTATTATTACCTCCATTGACGAAACGAAATCCACTCATTATGAATTTTATTCAAAGGGTTTATTATATTACTACAATATTGATCATAACAACAGACATATCATTTCATGCGTCCCAACGATTAGTGGGTTATCAAGGCACACTGTAAAACAATAGACTCCTCGATTTGCGCTTCTTTGTACATATAATTAAAACTAAAAAACATGACTGTTTGAGTTATACCATAAGATTTCATTAGTTATACACCTCACAATTGCCTGATATTGATGGGAAAAAGTAGTATCAGTAACAGAATTAACATTAGAATATTTTTTCGAGCCATCAACCATGTATTAATCAGTAAAATGATTCAATAATTACTTGAGGATCGATCAAACGAATTAATAGTGTATTTTATGCAATACTTAAGTGAGTACTTTAACTGGGTTTTAATTATCATCAGTTCCATTGCATCGAATTACAATGTGTATAAATCTCACTTTTTCCATAATTATATTTTTGTTGCATTATATACTTACAAATTATCCTTTAGAAATTTAATTCATGTCAACGAAGTTAGATAACTGTCGTAGTATAACATTATATAAAACTCTCACACTTCTAGCCTCAACAAAGTTTTTTTCTGACACATTTCTAGGATTTCATATATGTACACTATAGGAATAGGTCAATAGGAATCAAAATCCCGAGTTCTGGTTTCATAAGTCAGTCAGTCGGTCAGCTACATCTCAGGACCGGGACCCGGTTTATTCATATGAAACTTAAAATATGTTGTGATTTAATACATACCGTAAAGAGATCTCTGAATAGAGTACCTTTGTTTAGCGCTTAAAATGTTTAGAATCGACGCAACAAAATGTTCAAAAATATCAGATACTAAGTTTATATGCTTTATTGATAGTTGATAGTCAATTTAATGAACATTTAAATATATTTTTATACATATTTTATATAAATTTATAAGGTGGAGTTTACTATCCGATCAAGAGCCTTAATATTTAAGGAATCCTATTCAAATAAATGACATTTTTTCTACAATGGAAGATATTCTGCTTGTATAAATATTGAGTAATAACTTCAAAAGTACATCAATCACTTATAGATTTCAGCAGTTTAAAAATCCCCATAGAATATTCAAAAATGAAGAATATTTGAGCGAACGATTGTTTTCAATAACTTGATCATCAAGCTCTACAGTTATAAGTCCATAATTATAATAATTTACAAAGGCCAAAAATAAGACATGTATTAATGAATTTGACAATGTTACGTGTTAAAAAAAGGTAAACGTTTGCATCTGTTACGACATATATATACTTCAAAATGACATTATTTGCAAATTAGAAAGGTCATTCGATAAAGGTCAGAATGATTTGGAGTAAAGTGTCCAGTCACAATAAGTAGAATAATAATATATCAAAAATGAAAATGCCCAAAAAGTGTGTGAATAAAATGCATAGTAGGAGAATTTCATTTTGTCAATTGAGATAATAATAATATTGTTGTGTGAATATAATATGTAATAAGGGGAGTGTTATCCAGGTAATTACGATAAACTAATTGTGAATGATGGATATGAAGATTAAGATAGAGGTAATAAAAAAGAAGGGGTTAAGATGTTTATAATATCCAATTTATTTATCCGGTGATCCAGTCGTGGGCCAAGGTAAACATAGAAGTTGGATATACCTATCCTGGATACATCAGTTTAGTCTTCTGGAGTTGATCTAGGTGCTATGCAGAGCAACCGTAACCTAGCTGCTTGAGATAGATATTTTGGAACTTGGTATAAAACAGAGAAAGCTTCCCCTATTTTGATATGATGTTCACTATCTACGAAGTGAGAAAGAATGGTGCTGTTAATCGATTTAGTAACTCTTTTTCTCAAACATGCTAACACATGTTCACTAGCACTTAAGGATATATCCCTCTGAGTATGGTTTATGTAACTAGCTCCACAGAAGCATTTGAATTGGTATACACACATGGAGGAGCCCATCGTCGGTAACCTATCCTTGATTAATTGTTTGATTAGATTTAAATTTCATTATCGTTTTAACTACAAATTTTATACAATTCATAACCATTTTTATTATTAAGTAAAGTTGTTGACATAGTTCAATTGAGCATTTAAATTGTTAATTCTACATTGGTTTATATTTTTCTAAAAAAAGCATAAAAGAATAAGAATCTTGTTCATGATTATTTTATGCATGAATTACACCATAGCAACAGAATAGAATTTTTCATTTGTGGGAAAAAAAGAAAAGAAGAAAAGAAATGTAATTGAATAAGTCAAATAACTTAAATCTTTTATCATTAGCCATTTAAACAATAAAAAAAACTATTTATGTAATAACACCATATATACGTTTTATTGATTCAAAGGTATGTAACTTATAACGTACATTCATAAGTCCATGAATATTGTTTTTTTGTTTTTTGTGGTTTTTTGGTTTTGACTTTTAAGATTATCATCCTTTTTCTGGCTTTTAGTTTATAAGGAATAGAATGTAGGGAAAAACAAACGAATTACGAAATATGATCAGAATTTGATTTAATGAACCAACAACAACAACAACAACAACAAAAGGCATTGACTATCAGTCACAAGTGTAATATCACATACTTGTTCGTTTAATTACTTAGTTCTATGAAATTACTTTCTATGTACCTAAACACACAATAAGATATGTTATGGATGATTTTCATAATTCTCTCTCTCTCTCATACACTTTTTCTCTTGATGTCTGCCTAACATTAACTCTTATTTTATTTAGAGTAAATAGACTGGTGCATATCATCTAAGGTTTTTTCCATTGGTTCTTTTAAAAGACAGTTTCGCAGATTTACATTAATACAAACGATATATATATATATATATATATATATATATATGGACTTTAAAGTCTGTGGTTGTTTATATGTATATATATAATATATGTGCTTATGTATTGACAGATTCACTGTCAGTTAGTTTGTTATGCTTTCTACGTTTACCAAACCAAGTTTCTGTTCATTTTTTTATCGAATAAAATTTTATTTTGATGTAGGACAGGAAAGAAAACGTGAATAAATATTCTCCTTGAAAACAAAATAATAATAATAATAAACTTAAATATATAACATCAACGATTATAATAATAGTAGTAGTTGTAGAAGACATTAAAGAAACTTTAAAATGGATTATATCATTACTGAATTATTTATCATTTTTAACAAATGATGCCCAATATTGAACATTATAATGAAGATGAATGAAAATGGATCTTATTTATTATAGTAAAATTAAATTAATATACAGTTTAATAATTTCATAATACTACTCATCATTTCTAATCATTAGTAGTATATGTTTTTCATTAAAATAATTAAATATTTTGATTATTATACAGAATTAAATTATTCATTATACATAATAATTTAATATATGTACTTAAGACCATTAGATATTTATTTTATTATTATCATTATTATTATTACATACCGAAATAATCGATTGTATAAATTATCACAGACCAAATTTTTAAACTCAAATATTTACGTAGTGGGTCAGCTGCCAGGCTTGCTGGTTGGGAACAAATCAGTACGAGTGAAGAAGATTTAGAAGAAGGTAAAAAAAAGAAAAATAATGAAGTTCATCCAAAACAAAAGATTTCAATTATTCATAATACAGAATCAAATGCTGACATTATTGAAGAAACAACACCTATTATATTACATAAATATAAATCAATTTGTAAAGCAAAAATTAGTAATATTAATGAAATTAATATCAAATCACTTATTAATCAAAATGAATTATTACGTCAAGATGATGTAAATTTATTAAAATTTGTAAATAAAAAAGAAATAAATGAAAAAAAATCAACAAAATCAACATGTATACATGATCATCATGTGAAATTTTCACGTTCACGTATAAAATTTTTTCCATCACTTATAACATCATCAACATTACCAACAGTATCATCATCTTCAGCATCATCAACAACATTAAAATCAATCATTTCATCGAAAAAATCGTCTTCATTAAATAAACTCAGTGAATGTATACCATTGAAAAATATTTTTGATTTACAATCTTATTCATCTATTCCAACATTGAAATCATCAACCAATGGACCTAATACTGTTTCGTGTAATATTAATTGTAATGTTATTAAGACTATTAACACAAACAATAATCTATCTAATAGTACTTTGATTTATGAAGTGAAACCATCATCCTCTGTAGAATATTCTGATCATATACTACGTGTTCCAGTACTTGGTAGTCGTCAGTCTGGTAAAACTACATTAATTAAACAATTTATTCATTGTATCGATCCTGGAAATCCTCTTCCCACTTGTAAACATCCAGAATATTATGATCCAATGATATCATTCAATGATCGTATTTATTATGTACGTTTAATAGATTGTCCACCAATTGATAAAAAATTTCCAACTAATTCTATTGAGGAATGGGAGAATTATCGTGGTTGGGGTTTAAGAAATGCTTCAGCATTTATTTTAGTTTTTGATGTTAATTCAGAATCATCATTTCAGCATATACGTCATTTACGTGATCAAATTGTTAGTGAATTTAATGATATACCATTATTATTAGTTGCAAATAAAATTGATTTATTACAACAAATTACAAATGGATTTAATTCAAATAATATTATACCATCATCTTATTCAACATCTTCTACATCATCTTCAGCAATCACTATGCCAATACAAGGACAATTACAAATGGTTCATTTAAATAATCCTAATTATCGATTTAATATACGTCGTGATATAAATATGATTATTAAAAAACAATGGAAACGTACTATACTTGTTGAATGTTCTGCTAAATACAATTGGCATGTCATGAATGTTTTCAGAGAGTTAATGCGTATTTTAGAGAATAGAGAACAGGCACATAAACCTACTGCAGCTAGAGCAGTACAAAATGCATTAAGGAATAATCAATGTTCAATAATGTGATTCTTGTGTTTTTTTTCTTCTCCTTATCCTTAAATGTATAAATGATAACAGAAATAAGGCACATAAATAAAAATATACTTACTACAACAACGACAATTATGCTAATGATTTGATTATTTTTTGTAACACTGTTGATGACTGATGACGATGATGATGATGATGATGATGTAATCAATTAAAAACTCATGTTCATGTGAAAAGGCTAGTTCTAGATATTTTGAGTTATTTTTCAGTTTTATTTCTGCTTCTATTTCTTTTGTTAATTTTTTAAAAAATCTTACTCTTTTTTCCCCTACCTTCATTCACTTATGATTAACTTTATTGAACTAGACAAGATATTCAATGCATTATAATGGATGGATTATAGCAACTTATTATACATATATACATAAGATTTATTCACTATGAACTTATCAATTAAAGAAAATGAAATGGAACAAAATATTCTGATAAATATTACGCACATTAATCCAGAGGGTATCATTATAGTAAATATTATTACGATTATAATTATAATTATAATTGCTATTATTACTACTATTATTATTACTACTATTATTAGTACTATTACTAACGTTATTGATATTGCTGTGCAATACTAGAATTCATATAACAAATAAACATTACTAATTTCATTTGTTTATCTATTCTTTTTAGTGTTAATTTAGTGTTAAATTAAAGAGTTTATAGTATGTTTATGAATAATTGGATCATTATTGAAGGACATAAAATCTGTAACAGAAATGTAAAAAAAAGGAAATAAGAATTATGAATCGAAGATAAAGTTTCATAGTTGATTAAATGAAACTGAATAATGGTATGGGAGATTAAAAACGGTAATTTGAATGTTAAATGATCGTATTTTTAAAAAAAAAAGAAGTAATGTGAGAGTCAATGATGAAATATTGAATTATGTGTAAATTCAGTCTAACGAATGCTTAGTAAATTGGTTATATATTTGAATTTTCAGATCAAAATGGGTTCGAATTCCGTGAGCGGGATTGTGAATGCGCACTGCTGAGGAGTTCCACAATAGGACGAATTGGTCTTCGAGTGCCTCTAGGTTTTTAATGGCCGCCTAACATCAATCGGTGCAAAATCTCAATTAGAAACTTAATACTCTCAAAAACCTCATACTGATAATCCTATTAAAGTTATTTTAGATTAGAAAAGTTATTAATGTATTGAATACTATTGCTTTTAAAAACATGTTCAAAAACAGTTAGGCTGCTAAAATAATCTCCTTTTTAATTTTTCTACTGTTTGATTAAATCTTCCCATTGATGTTCAGGATTCCACTGCTAGCAACTATCCGTCTTTGCTTATATTGCTAGTGACTTAAGACACTATCGAGGTAATCCGCACAGGATGTACATACGTCAAATAGAGACTGATCACTTGCAGTCCTAAATATCAAGGAGAGAATTTAAACAAACAATACAAAAGTGCGTCAAAACGTCACCCTATTACATAAGCTAGAGGTTATCTGTGCTCAGTAAGCAAGTGGATAACGCGATGGCGTTTTAAACAAATCGTACTGGGTTTGAGTTTCGGAATGAACATTAACTCTAGGATGCAGGTACATCTAGCTAAGAAGTCCCGAATAGGACGAAACGCGCTTCCTGGATTTTACTCTAGCTACCACTCATATTTACTTATAATCTCCGGTTCTATTTATTACGATGACGTCTTTGATTCTATGAACTTTGAGACCAGTGTTTTTTTTAACCGAACCTTAAAATAACGTTCGTTTAGAGCGCTTCTATTCATTATGTTGTATAAAAACTTTGATAGTTGAAATCATAGGTAAAATAAAGCTAGACCACTATGGAAAACCTGCGAGCACTAGACGGCCGTTTTGCCCTTGTATGTGACATCTCGGCAGTGCTCATCCACAATCTTATTCGCGGGATCCAAACTCAGGACCTTCGATTTCACACGCGAACGCATAACCTCTAGACCACTGAGCCAGCATCCAATGCTGTTTATTTCTAACTTCAAACAATTCATGAAAAAACTTTAACGAAATCTAAACTAGTGTCTTGACTACACGAAAGTGTTTGGAAAGAGTTGGACAACATATATTTATCTATTAATCATTCAATAAATTTTAATTCTTTATATTTTAAGATTAATGATTTATTTTTACTATTATATTGATGAATAGTCAGTTCTATTTGGGAAACAATTTTAAATAATGCGGCATCCCCAGTTATTTTATGTATTTTTAATTATTGTTCTGTCAAACATTGGACTCAACATAACTATTTTAATCTGAATCTGTTTAATTTAAAAATTCCATTGTTTAATGTATGACGTTTTACACTTAAACCATCAACACTACAAATTAAATGACCGAAATCAATTTTTATAAGGAAAAATAACGATGGGTCAACTCACGTTCGCGCGCAAAACTGTTAGGTCCTCGGTTCGAATCCCGCAAGCGGGATTGTAGATGAGGAGTCTCATAATAGGACAAAACGGCCGTCCAGTGCTTCCAGGTTTTTCATGGTGGTCTAGCTTTAATAGACTGATGAATTCAACTATGAAATTATTAATAGATTATTAATTCACAGATTAATATTTAGAATAAAATTTGTATGAATTTAACAAGTTTTATAACACAAAATTTGTAAACGTTTTCCTGTTCTTCTATGAATAAGCGACTAACTTAATTCTAACAAAACCGACTACTTAAAACATTTTTATTTACTGTATCTTTATTTATAGTTGATGTTGATGTATGAATACATGTTGAATTGATCCACATAAATTCAATTACTAATGAAGCTTATCAGATTAAATAGTACGATATCAGTTTAAAAATAAACTGAGCAGTGGTAGGTCATTTAGATCATCATTTAATAGGAAGTAAAAAAGACCAAAGATAACTATTGAAATAAAGGGCTCGCAAATTCCCTAGTACGGCTGAAAGTGGGGAGAGACATTTCTCCCTCTCCAAATGCTCTCACATGGCCATGTGCATACAGCCACTGCCAGGGAATTCTTACTCACTACCTTCTCGCGGCATTACTGTTTTATATGTAATCGAGAGGACAAAAGGCGAATATCTGTCTGTTTAGGCGGGTTGGTAGATATGGATGATCCACCCAAGGGAGTTGGAAAACCCTGATTGCAAACCAGTAGTGCACACGGACTCTAGGATCCTGAGGGAGCAATTATCGTATGAATCACTCGTTGATCACTGGCTACTATGGGACTGAATCTCCTTACGTTGCTCCATTTAGGTCAAAGGCTTCAGGTATGGCCCACTAAGAAAACCATCTGTTTCGGTTCGGGCGCCTGGACAGTAACCCGGCTCTCACACAAATCGCATGATTTATGCAGCGCACATGTATTTAGTGGCCCGTTGTACAACGTTTATGTGTTTAAATAATTAAAAATTTTATCGAACCTGCTTGAAACTTAGGTCTTTTCACGAATAACTCAACTCACTGCTTTTATGTCTTGCAGTTAGTAAGATACTTTTAAAACAACAATATAAGACCTTCAAGTTTCACTTTGATTTCTAGATGATCCATGATATAGGATGGTTTTCAGCGAACATCATTAGTATATTAGTATTTAACTGCCTATGTGTATGATTGTATCAGTTCTGAGAATTTTGTTTATGAAAATTTTAATTCTTCTAGATAAAAAAGGCCTATTTTTAAAAAACTAGTTATTTCCGCGTCATACATTTCTTGACATTAACTAAGGAACTATAGAAAAACGTCTGAAATTTCTCACTTATAAGCACTCATAACTCTACATAAAACCCAACTGAAAAAAACTTCTGGTTTTTCAACAACCAATGTATTTTCAGGTCAACAAATTAGAGTCTAAGACTATACTTAATCTTTTTTCTAAATTTCTATACCCGATTACTTCATTGAGATATACTTAGCTAATTTAAAGTTTGACCATGGAATAATATCAAAGTAAGAATCTTCAATACCAACATCAAGGCAGTTCTACTGTACGGAGCTGAAACTTGGAGAACTACTACAATCATCATCAAACATGTACAAGTATTTATAAAAAGCTGTCTACACAAGATACTCAACATCCATTGGTCGGATACCATCAGCAACAGCCTTTTGTGGGAGAGAACATACCAGCTTCCAGCTGAAGAGGAAATTAGGAAAAGACGATGGAAATTGATAGGACATACATTACGCAAATCATCAAACTGCATCACGAGACAAGCCCTAACTTGGAATCCTGAAGGGTAGCGGAAACGTGGTAGGTCAAAAAACACATTACGTCGGGAAATAGAAACAGATATGAAAAGGATGAATAACAACTGGAAGGAGCTGGAAAGTATTGCTTGGGACAGGGTTGGATGGAGAATGCTGGTGAGCGGCCTATGTTCCTTTACGAGGAGTAACAGGCATAAGTAAGTAATGAAATAATTTTGAATAAATATTTATATTCTTCATTTGTAACAATCTTATTACAATACTTTGAACAATTGACTTTATTTAAATGATTTGCCAGACTGACTGAATATTTGACAGTAAAATTACACAATTTAAAGTTTTAAAGTAAAGATGAATTTCTTTTTTCTCTTTTTTTAAAAAAAGCTCGTTCACAAACATCTTTTTATCGGCTTGAAATAAAACGACATTTAAACCGCTTGTTTTCTAGCAATTTCTTCTTGGTTTTTTTTCTCTCTTGTGTATCTAAGATCAAAGTCATTTGGAAATAAAAGTGTAATGTTAGTCTAACGGATAATTTATTGAAAATATATTTTAACTTTCATTTTGATTCTGGCAAAAAGAAATGTGTTGTATGTTTATTTATTTTTTTTAATATTTTCTTTCCGTAATGAGAATATCTGTACAGTAACGAAATGTGTAGTTTAAATTCGACTGGAAATGTCTTTCTTGATATAAACAAAAACTAGTTAATTTGGTTGAAGTTTGAAAGTGTTTTTCTTTTTAACTGTATTATCAGTTATAAATAAGGATAGTATTCTAAATCCTTCTATGCAATATCCAAAGAAGAAGAAAACGTGTTTATATTTACGATTCCCAATAATTTTGTTTTTAGGCACTCTCATAATAAATCCATATATATTAGATTATAGTAGACAGTACTACAAGGGTATTAGTCGATGTTATGAATTAAGACTAGTGAATTATAAGCTGATTATGTTTTAAATAAATAAGGACTTTCGTCTAAATTAGAACAAATAGTTTCACAATATTTGGGCGCCGAGTTAATGTGAGTCATTAAAGAGGAAGAATATATATTTGTAAAATCTCAGCGAAAGAATTTGAAGTAAATTCACACCACATATCTCTTACACACTAATCCAAATGCATACTTTTAACATTGTTAACGTTGATTGAATGACTTATTCAGTATACAGTAAACCAGAGAACCATGTACCTATTTATATTCGATAATTTTGTTCTTTGATTATATTTTCCTTGAAAGAGCTTGAACCAGATTACCAGGCGAAACGTT